ACGCTATGTCGGAAACCATAGCTCAATCATTAATCGTTTGTTGCCAGCTTCCTACAAGCACACACAAGCTGTATTACAGCATATTATTTACTGGTCTTAGGACGAATGATCATTAAAAGTAACACTGTTAGTGTAGGCACACTACTTCTGGCAGCAATACAAACTGAGTACAAACTGCCTACGCCCGACCCCGTTCGGTCATCGTGACTTTGTCTTGTCACCGGTTCAAATGGGTAAGGGTGAGGTAGACAGTTGCACGTCTAGTTCACTTAAATCTCGTCTCTGATTCCAGTCACCATCCCTGCTCTTGGGCATATGGTGGACATCATCGAAATCGATGGTCAAACTATCATCATCCTCAGTTGCCATGCAACCACCGGCGTGAGCTGTAGACATTGGATTCTGTGTAATCTTTACTTGTGAACCCCATCAGCACTTAAACAGTTTCTGTTTGGGCTGTGTTACACTCTCGTCCATGCAGCTTCTAATTTGGCTGAATTCAATCATCACCAAACCTCTCTCGCCTTCAACAGATTTTTTTCTGAGTCCTCTTATGTGACCTCGATATGGAGAATTTCTAAACCGGCATTCTGTCATGTAGCAAGATAAAGGCTTTCGCCCACTCTCAGCCCATCCAGTCCAGGCCATGGTTCCTTCCCAATCCAACTGAGACATTTCGCCATGAGTACCAGAACCCAGACCTCCTTCTTAACAACTGGTTCAAATTCCACTGACAATGGTACCTTTTAATTCAAACCATACTGACATAGCATACGGATTTGCCGTTGACGTTTAACTGAACCACTGTCTTTCTCCAGCCGCCCCTGCAACCTGGCTCATTCATGCCAACCACGGCCGCCCACGCTGTTTGCAAATCTACCTTGGTACATGACACCTTCCCTATCTTTCACTGGTCTTCCTTCGTTTGATTTATTTCATCAATGAAGTACGGTCTAGGAGGGGAGCACTTGTAGTGGTCGCTGCTCTCCTAACTCTTGACGCCACAGACAAGGTCACTCAGAGCATAAGACCTAGCGCGAAGGCATTTTTCCCGCGTGTCTCGGGCAATGTGAAAACGGACGCGCGATATTCACTGCTAGCGAACGCACGCACCGTGTCTTCCCCGTTCTGGCCTCAACCTACAGTGACGTGACCTCAATCCATCTGGACAGATCTCAAGGCCGCGGCTTGTCGTACTTGGTTTGTACACAAGGGTAAATTGGGGTCCTCTATAAATCCAAACTCAATGGATATTTAACTCACCAAAGTTCCAGTAAGATAGGGGGTTAGGGAGATGGTTGCTGTTCGTTGGGAATTCTGCAGGGGCTTAAACTCATGGTGGTCATCAACCTCTAAACAGCCGACCAAATCGCTGTTTAGACTACCGAGGTTATTAACATAGAAGGAAGCCCGGGCATCGGGATTGCGCGTCTTTTGCCGCAGGCAGTTTCTCCAGAACGCAATTTCCAATTTACAGGTATAATCAGCTCCAACTAGGACAGAGGAGGAATCCAGCACCTAAAAAGGGAAACATTATTCAGGCGGATTGAAACGTAGTCTAATAATAAATGCGTACTGACTAACTAACAGTAGTATTTAAATATGCATTTAAGGCACGACCCTTGACGAGCTTCAAGATTGACCCTCTTTCGGAGGCTACAGGCTTACCAAGTCGGGGATATGTTGTTGAGAAAGGAACTCGAATCCAGACACAATCTGGTGCAACATCTTGAAGAGCAGTTTCGTTGAGAGCAAGCTGGACTTGTACTCATTGGAGTTGCGTAGTGACTCGTCTACTTCTCGTAATTCCTAAAGAATGAAAGCACAAACAAGCCACTTCGGTATATTTCGTAAAAAAATATGCATAATCAGTCACATAAAGGACCCAAATAACAAAAGTCCCAAATGTCACACAAAAAATTTTGCTGAAATATTGGCCATATATAAGTATAAGGTGAAAAAATAGTTGTTATACTGATGCTG